AATGTTTCAAATGTTTTCATGGTTAGAAGTAATTTGAAAGCATCTTTAACAGATTGAAACACTCAACATAAAAAGACCTTGAGCCTTTTATTTTCTTTGTCACATAACTGAAAACTTTTCCAACTTTTTTGATCATTATTTAGTTTTACCTTGACAGTTTTCATAATTATTGGCATTGACTCTAGCTATAAGTTCTTAAAAATTTTTAACTTTTTCTACATATTTAGTGAAATCCCATTCTGATTTGTACCTTACGAGCTTTTTCTTTATTTTCTAAGTTTTGAAATCTTGGCTCATAGGTCTATTTTTCATCATTTTTACTCCTCTGCATATACAAACTTTAACATTAGTCCCCCAACATGATGTGATTTTCTGATGTCTCATTTAGTATTCTCCATTGTCTCTAAGTATTACTATTAAAATTTTACAGTTTTTTCCTATCCTTCCATATATTCTTCATTTTTCTTTTTACCTCACCCTATAGCCTCTTCCTTTCATCTATGTTGATTTGATTCTATTGAAGATGTCAAAGAATTTTCTGAATATTAAATCTGGATCCTGACATTGATAATTCTTAGACTTATACATCTGCTTGAATCTTCTTTTTTCGCAGTAGTTTGATAGGACATATAAGGTGAGCCACATCTGCCCTTGGAGTTTGTCAAAAAGACTTGGTAAATGGATTGCATTAGTTCCTCACTACCTGTGTCTGACAACTTGGTTGCAATCATTCCCATGGCTGGGGAGCAGTTCCATGTGAACATCTTCACATTAAATTCCTAAATACAGTAAGTCCACTTCTGATATATCACCTCCGCTCTAAGATCACATCATTGTCACTACAATGGTTCTTAAATTTTGATGATGGTTGAGCCTCAGATTGATGACTTTGCCAGATTTCTGATTTTGCATTCCTAGCGTGGTCCATGGTGATTCTGCTGGTCCAGGACCGCACCTTGAGAACTATTGATCTATAAAATCACAGTCTATTTCTCTGGACCTCTGAATGAATGTAGGCATAAAACACAATGATTTCTGCAACATATTTCCCTCTGGAACACTTTCCCTTCTGCTGTGCTTCACTTGTGGGGGCTTTAGAATAGGAAGAACCACCATAATCCCTCATTCTGCTTCCTACCCAGTTGTAAGATGATGGAGTATGGGGAGCAGTGGGAGGAGAGAAGATATTGACCCCTGCCTGTAGTTACATTTTACGTTGGTATTTATATACATTCAAACCCAAGGAAATGGGCAAAGGGAGACCGTGAAGGGCCTTCCCACCATTTTCCAGGTTCTCTCTGTTTCATTTGGCTGGGAAGACATTCATATTTATCTGTGCAGCTATTTTTATGGTTAGTATAGCTTCTCTTTAAATGTTGGCACTTAGTTGTCTGCCCATCTATTTTTAACATTCATAAATATTTCAGTTGATCTTTGGTGAAAGCCATGCCAGAGAATTGGCCAGGCACCATTTTGAACTAAGACATCGTCTTGAAGCAAAGCCTTTTTTTTTTTTTTTGCAAAAACTTGACCAAAATAGAAAGCTCAGGGATCCTGAATTCTTAATTTTATATCCAGCCCATTTCTGACTCCATAACTCTAAGAGAGAACCCAAAGTCATCAACCTTGTGCGATTGAAGATTCCTGTAACTAAGAGCCACTGCCACTAACTTCATTTCTTATAACCTCTAAATACAACCTTTCATGAAAAGGGGGAGTGATTTGCTATTGGGGGAATAGGCTTTCCTGTTATATAGGACATGACGATGACAATACGAAGGGTCTCCTCTTGCATTTTTAGACCCTAATATGACAGCAAACACCATCAACACTTTCTCCACCACCTCTCTCACCACCGACTCTTCTAGAATGCCACCCTCTCTACCCAACCCTCCCAGGCACCAATGAGACTCAGCTGGGATCTACTGAGGAACTGGATGCAAAACAGCTTCCTAGGAGAACATCAGTTACCACACAGCATTCCAAGGACATCGATGCTTTAGGGGAAAAAAAAAGATGGGGGGAAAAATGTTTTCAGGAACTGTTCACAGCCAGTTTATAAAGAAGGAGAGAGCATTCACACACAAGAGAGGAGTGTTCAGAAACACGGAAAAGGACATTTCTCTATCGGTGACCATGCCTATTACATGACATTCAAATACCACAAGTGCTATTCAGCTGCTTGTAAGTCACGATAGGTGAGCAAAAACACTTATCTCCTTTGTAGAAAGGGAAAAGGAGGTGGAGAATCCTTCACACAAAGATCCACTTTGACTTTAAAACACAGGGTAAGCAGTACTAGAAATCTATGTGGACAAAGCCCACCTATTAAGATTCCGAACAAACAGGGAGCCTCAATACTACAAAGCTCCATTGTTAATATGTGGTTAGTTATGTCAAGGACACTAAACAAAGCTGCTTTTCATGTGTCAGTTTGAGCTCTCCCAGTTGATAACCACGGGGACTCCTGGGTCACAACCCCAAACGGGCAGCCATTGTGCAGAAGAAAACAGCAGATGGGCCCCAACACAGATAGCACAACTAGGAATCCTTGTGAATCTGGGCCTTGAGCCACCTGGGCTGGGTCTAGGCAAAATTCAGAAGTAGATAAAGTTTTACATTGGGGTCTGTTTGTTCTCCTCCATACACGTGACAGTCACCTGTTCCAGCAGCTTGGAGTTTTACCTAGGGCCACCTCCTTCCCAGGCAAATCCCTGCCCCTGACTCCAGTGCCCCATGAAAGCCTTCCCTAAGGCCGCTGGTTTCTTCCAGCCTGATAACCTGCTCCATGCTGAGGCACTGATGGCTGCTGAGAGATTAATCAGTCTCTTTGCCAGATAACAGATGCATTTTGTTCCAGATAAAAGTAGCATTTTAACAGCTGCTTTCAATGCCTAATCCCCATTAGGCTGGGAGGTGAACATTAGGGTGGTTGAGGAGGGACGTCTCCTTGAGTCATGGCAGCTTCCAGCTATACCAGGGAACAAGACGGATCTGCTTTCACCCCTATCACATTGCACCGAGTTTGGGACAGTGTCTCCACAGTCCTTGGCTTCACTCGTGATTTGCAAGTATGAATAAGAAATCTGCAGAAGAGAGACAGAAGGTGAGGTCCCACCCAAGCCTGCCATAATCTGAGCTGTTCCATGACCTTCCCTAGGAAACCCTCTTGTCACAACCTGAAAGACAAAGTTAAATGCACTGCCAAAGTGAGGAACTGGCCCTGGACAGCAGTGAATTCCACTCTCCTTCTCCTTACACAGCAGCCTCGGTCTGCCATCTTGAACCACCCATCCAAGCATTGACTTTGTTCCAGGAGCCAAAGGCCAAGTGTCTCCCCTTCCTCTGAAGACCACAGAGCACTCCAGGCAGCCTGCTATGCGGGATGCAGAACCTTTGTCAGTGCAGGAGCACAATGAGCCTGTGAGTGAATGGATGTCCAGGCAGAGAATACGGAGGCCCCAACTCACCCTGCACAGTCAAGAGGGAAGCAAAAAAAGATTGGCCTCCGAGAGCCCCTCCCACAAAGTCAGGAGGGCACCGAACACAATGCTGATCCCCTCAGCCAGCGCTGCTAAGAGCCCACGTCGACTGTTTTACCAGAGTGGAGTTCATTGTAGGGATTGCTATATTAAGCTGCTTTCAAATTCTATAGAGGAAAGGTGAAGGAAAGGGACCTGAATTTCCATTCAATAGGACATTAATGGAAGTAGGAGTGAAAGAGCATCTTCTGGAAGGAGTGGAAACCATGCCAAGCAAGTCTTCAGGAATAACCCTTTCTCCATCCCCCACCCCCCCACTCCCGCCCAGGGCCTGTTGCAAGCCCATTGTCACTCATTTGCTAGGACTGTCACAAAATACTTCTTGTTAACTGTGGTCCCTGCCCTGAGTTTGTCCAGACTCCACTCAGTCCTCCACAGCATTTCCTGAGCTCTTTTTCTGGAAATAAACGTGCCCCTGCTTGTTGGGATCTGCTAGCTCCTCACCTGCAGAACAGGGGCTCAGTGTCTCCACGTGGCTCTAAAGCTGCTTCTCAAGCTGCATGGCCACACCACTCCCATCTGGTCCCCAGAGCTCCAACCTCTCTGAATAGATCAAGTTCATTGGAGCCAGTCATATTATACCCACTCAGGATCCTAAGCCACTGGGATATTTCTTTTTGCCCCAAATACCCTTCTGTGCCTGGGTGGCCTGGGTGTCCCTCAGCCACACCACGCTGCCTCTAGGAAGTCTTCTTCCTGAGAGGTGCCACTATTCCCCTTCTTCCTAGTCTGCTGCAGATTGTGGTATGCTATTCTGATCCTGTGTCTTCCCCCACTCACCTCTGAAATAAGGAGGATGTCTCATGATCAAATTCAGAATCTGGAATTAAACAGAGGTTCGGTACATGTTTAATGAAGGAGGAGCCCTGGGAAAAAGAAGTCTTCTTCATTCTTAGATTTCTGATTCCATCCGAGTAGCCGGCTGGAGTGAGTCCTAAACACTGTTGACCCCACAAACCCCCTTCTCACACGGACACTCCCTCCTGCTGGTTTTCCTGCCTTTGGTCTCTTGTCTCTCTCCCCAGGGCGCTTCTCCTCACCTGGGATGCCACCTCTCCATACTTAGAATCATGGTTGGAACCTACCTTCATCCCTGCAGTCTCTTCCTTTGCCCTCAGGTCTGATGATCCCCTCTGCCTTATCCCACCAGATTAAGGGCATATGTCACACACGTACGCTTTTCTGTTGCTGGAGTTCTCAAGTTTTCGTTGTTGTTATGGATGTTTTTCTTTTCCCTTGGGTGCATGTTCTGGGTCCCTGATTGGAGCCCAGGATCCCTAGGAGCATAAACTACTGAATCCTCCCAAAACTTACCCGGTGCATTGCAATAGGTCAGATCGTGTTTAAGGGGAAAAAGGGAGAACACAAAACCATCTGCTCCTCTTTAGTTTAGCTTCAATTTGGGGACAATTACATGAATCATCAAAGGATACACTGCTGTGTTACACTTTTCTGGAGGATTTAATTACTTTTTGACAATTTGCAAGGCAGAGAGCTACAAAGTAAGTAAAGTGCTAACTGGAGCCAACCAAACTCAGAGCCATTCCCAAATGAAGATCAGAATCTTTGAAAAGATAACAGGACAACTTGAGACAAACGGGATGCCTTATTCCAGAGTTGTTTTTTAGATACAACTTTGTAGGAAATGAAATATTCTTAGAGCCCAAACTCCAGATACCATGTCCAAGGTGTTTAATGCAGCTTATAAGTTTCCTACCTCAGTTCTCTGGGGTGAAGTCAGCCTATTCCAGAAACCATTTGGGTCCTTCGCTTTCTTGGGTGCAATTCACTCTTAAGAGGTTGCCAAAATCTGGTAGGCATAAAGAAATAGACACTGTAACAGACAGCCTACTAACACCACCAAATCTAGCCCCTGCTGCCATCTCCCTGCCATTGGGAAGCCTATTGGAGAGATGGAATTCCTGTCAGTAACTCCAGGCAGGACACTTTTTGCTTTGTGCTGAACCTCAAGGAGGAATGTATCCATGCGTCCATGATAGTTTATGATAGTCTTGTTACCGCATGTTACGCTGTTACAGATAAGCACAGCTCCATTGCATTGTTAATACAGCCATCCATTGCCACCCACCTGCCAGGTACTTGCCAGGGACCATGCCTGAGCTGAGGATGGGGAATGGCATCCCTGACTCCAGGAGCTCGGGTCTTGCTGAGAAAACAGGCATTTTTGAGGCAATCACAACTACGATGAGTGACACAGAAGTAAGATAAAAGTTCCCATGGGCACAGATAAGAGAGAGGGGTGGGGAGAGAGAGAGAGAGAGAGAGAGAGAGAGAGAATACATAATTGGTCTGGGGAGAAAAACAGAAAGGTCACCTGGAGATGTGACTCCGACATTGAGGCCTAAGGATTACAAGAATGTAGTCAAAGAAGGGGGAAGAAACGGAGGGAATAGCATTGTCAGAGGCCTGAGGCTGGAGAATGAAAGACAATGGAAAGAATGAGAGCATAGGTGAAGCACGGTATGAAGAAAACATGGCTGAGATCAGGTAAGAAAGGTAAAAACATCATGCTTTAACCACATTCCAGGCACCAATCTAGGTGCTTTTCTTATCTCACCTGCTGGAACCCTCTTAATAACCTTAGATACCTTTATCAACCCCACGGGACTGAGGAAATTGCGTGCCCAGGGAGGTTATATCTCTTACCCGTGATCCCCTTGCACAGAGTGGCACCGCTGGGATTTAAACCCATGCAGACAGAACACAGACGCATTAGCTTCTCTGCCCTCCTGGGGTGCAGGTTAAATCAAGCAAGGCTTTGTGGGATTTCATCCTCAGATGAATGAGAAGGAATCCAAGAGTCGTGAGCTAAGAAACGCCAGCATCATTCTTGAACCTTAAAAAAGTTTCTCTGGCTGCTATCTTGAGAATGGACTGGAGAAGACAAGAATGATTAGAGGTACCCCTGAGAAAACTAGCTGTAGTTATTTGAAGGAGAGAGGATGGTGGCTTGGGACCAGGCAGAAGCAGTGGAGGTAGAGGAAAGTAAATGGACCCAAAAGATGTTCAGGTATTCGGTGTGAAAATGCCAGGCTTGACTGGTTGACAAGACGTAACCAGAAGGCAGACCAGACCACTTGCCTAGATGTTTTCATATGCTTTAAATTTAATACTGGCAACAATTATAGGTAGTAATCTAATTTCAAGGTCAGAGAGCTCTAAATGGTAAAGACAGGGTTTGAACTCAGAATTTGAAGCATTTATTTATATGCGTATCTTTCTTATTCTTCAAAGTCTAGGCCAATAACTTGGTCATGCTGTATTTCCAGCCCACAAAACCCATGCTGGGCACGTGGCTGGGACTCTGTAAATTGTTAATTAATGTGCAGGAGGAAAGGAGTGCATGGGCTCCAGCTCTGCCCTGACATATCGTCTCTTACGAAATCATCACACAGTGGGCAGATTCCCTGTCCTCATCAGGGCCATCAGTATCTTCCAGGCCTAGTGAACAGAGAGGCCCAGATGGCGACACCTGCCCACTGGCCCTCTCTCACCTGACCATCTGGAGTCTTATGTCTGTACTTCCCGGCTCCTTCAGTCCTTTAAGTTGAAAAAAAAAATTAATCCAAATTAAGCTGGGCAGCTCAGATATTTAAGTTCCTCCAAAGTCTTAATAAATTTTACAAATATTTAACAAGCAAATTAATTTATGTAAAGATCTGTACATATTTGATAAACTTGAACCAATTTAATAAGTCCTTTCCTGTTTTAATAAATTCTGGATTAGGGTTAGACTTCCTACAAACAGTAAATACACAAGGAAAATATTTGTTATGTGTGTGTATGTATTGTACCTGCCTTTCAAAGATCAAGAAAAGATTATCTTTGCTGTAAAGACTTGAAACCTCCTGTGTTGTATGCATGTTTGTTGGGAGACAAGAAGGCAGGTGAACTAGCACGTGCTCAGACTGTCCAGCTGGGGAGGACTTCACGGACGAGAGGGAGTGCCAGGAAGATCACCTGAAGCTCAGACCACACAAAACTTCTAGAGTAAGCATACGGGTGAGAGCAGGGTGAGAACAAGAAGGTCCAGAGTACCCACATTTTTTTTTTCTTTTTTTAGCTGAGGGTTGAATTCTAGGGCATTCTACCACTGAGCTACATTCCCAGCCCTTTTATTTTGTTTTGTTTTGTTAATTTTTGAGACAAGGTCTCACTGAGTTATCAAGGCTGGTCTCAAACTTGGGATCCTCCTGCCTCAGCCCCCTGAGTTGCTGGGATACGTCTTTCTGCCTGGCTCCCAACATTCTCTTTTTATGAGGAGCAAAAGCCTCTGCTAATCTTTTTTTTTTTTTTACACTGCTTCCTACATTATCTGAGCCATAAAATCTGCTCACAAATCTCCTCACGTGTTAGCTAAGACATCTATTCTTGCGTGAAAACTTCTTTAGTTTCTTATCCACCTCTAGGAAGAGTTGGCTATGGCCATAGATACTCAAGCACCCCTTGAGTATCTACAGGATAGTACTTCTCCGATTGTCTTGTAAGTCCGTGGCATGCAAGTCTGTTGCCCTTATTGCACGGTCAGTTCCGTCATGGTGTGATCAGCAGCAGCCTGCCTTCTTTTACTGAATATCTATTGAGGAACAAACAATATCTGTTAGATGATAGGTGATACATCATATAATGATGATGCAATGGAGAAAAGGTAATAAACATCAGTTCTTGCTTTCATGAGGTTTACCATCTAGCTGGGTATAGTAGACATTGTCAATGTTTGCATTAGTCAGCTTTCTGTTGCTGTAACAAAAAGCCTGAGGTAATTGACTTAAAAGGGTTTATTTGGGGTTCATAGTTTTGGTGATTTGTGTCCATGGTTCTTTAACTCTATTACTTGTGGATCTGTAGCAACATGGTACTTCACGGAGGAAACACATGGCAGAGGAACCCTATTTATTTTATGGCGACTGGGAACTGAAAGACAGAAAGGAAGACATCAGTTTCTCTCAATCCCCTTGAAGGGATCTCACTATGACCTAAGGCCTTCCATTAGGCCCCACTTCTTAAAGGTTCTACCACCTTCCGAGAGCACCAAGCTGACAACATTCTCTTAATGGAACTTTCTCATATTTCCCATATCACTTTCTCCATTTTCTTTTTTTCTGCTGATTCAATTTCTGGTGGTCTTCTTCCCTGCTTTCAGATAGTCCCCTTCCCACTGTGTCTTCACATGCCCTTTCCTGAGTACATAGAGAATGAGTTCTCGGATATCACTTCTTGTAATTATGGATACTAATCTTATGAGATTAGGGTCAACCCTTATGACTTCATTTAACATTAATTATCTTCTCAAGGTCCCATTTTTAGAGACAGTTGCATTGGGTGTTAGGGTTTCAACATAACCCTTTTGAAGAGGCACAAACATTCAGTCCACAAGAGGGGATATCTTGGTCTGTCTTCTCCTGCTATAATTAGATACAACAGGTAATTTATAAAGAAAATGAATTTATTTCTTCAAGTTTCAGAAGCCTGGACTCACTTCCCCACTTTCTACTACCATTGCCTGGGCCCATATCCCAACAAAACACTATTTGCAACTATTTGAATCCTTTCTTCAGAGTTTGCTTCTGAGGAAACCTAAACCAAGACACTGGAGGATACACAGTTGAATGAGGAAATCTGTGACCTCTACCTGCTGGCCTTCGTACCCGATGCAGTCCTCATCCCTTTAATGTGTAATTTACTGACTTGTTTCTGGTAAACCAAATATGGCATATGTGATGGAATCTCACATCTGAAATCAGGCTATTCAAAGGCAGTGGCTTCCATCTGGGTGCTCTGTCACTTTCTCTGGGGAAAGCCAATCACCATGCTGTGATGCAATTCCTGGGAGAGGTCCACAGGGGAAGGAACTGAGGCTGGCCAGCTCCACATGAATGAGCTTGGGAACAGATCTGAGGCTTGCAGGCAGTCCAGTGAGTGAGTGGGGAAGGGCATCCTTCCCCAGTCAAGCCTGGAGGTGTCTGTGGCCCCAACACCTTGTGAAAGGTGTTGAGCCAGAACTACCCAAGGAAGCAGCACCTAGATTCCTGACCCACCGGAGATAATAAATGTTTGTTGTGTTCACCTGCTAAATCTGGGGTCATCTGCAATAGTAGAACACTACTACAAGGGATGAGAAGGAACTCTAGGAAGAAGACAATGGGATTATTTCATGGCATGTCTTCCTTTACCCCAAGTTCAATCCCAACAACGGAAAAAAAAAAAATGTGGCCTAGAGTAGGGAGGAAAGCCTGCCACCACCCTATTCCACATACAACTTGAGGACTTTTCTTCCAGGTCAGCTTTTTAAAACCTCTGCCCACACCCTCAGAAAAGCCCTAGATTCTTCCTAGGCAAACAATTGCAGAATAAAAGACTGTTCGATGCAAAATGAAAGTTCCCAAAGCTACCCTCCTTTCCTATGGGACTTCATTTGGAACGAATAACACACAGCTGCCTGCTCACTTGCCAGGAGTTCATGCTAGGAGCTGTGTCCATTGTGAATACAACTGCTTCCGAGACCCTGATAGGGGCACAAGTTGGCAAAACTGCCCTTTGTTGCCAGTCCTCTCTGGGCCTGATATTTTTCCAAAAACTTCTACCTTCGTCAAAATTATTTGAAAGTCACAAACTAGCAAAGCTTACTCAAGAAGAAATGGAACTCTTGTGCATTGCTTAGAGCAATGCAAAATTTTAAACTACTTTGAAGCATTTGGAAGCTTCTTGTCAAATTAAATACACACTTACTATATTACCCATCAGTCCCAAAACTTTGTACATGCATTGACTTGTACATGAATTTTCATGGCATTTTTATTCATTATGTTCAAAACCTTGGTGGGAGAGATGTCCCCAGTTGGTAAACAGATAGAAATTTGTTTATTCATTAAAAAGAATAGCATGAATATTTAAAAAGCAGTACAACAACATGCATGAATCTCAAAAGCATTGTGCTAAATGAAAGATGTCAGGCACAAAGAGTAAGGAATGACTCCATTTATATGCAATTCTAGAAAAGGCAAAACTACAGTGACAGAAAACAGATGGATTATTGCCAAGAAAGAATTAACTACAAACTGGCAAAAGAGTACTTATTTGGGTTATGGAAATATTCTACATGATCGCTGTAGTGAGAGTTATACAACTGCATACAATTTGTCAAATGTTATTGCATTGCACAGTGAGAAGTGGTGAATTTTATCATATGCCTGAATGAAATGTTTTTTTTTAATAACAACAATTTTCTCTCTTTTAAAAGATTTGGAACGATGATGTGAGGGTAATACAATTCCATATTCTTTGATTACAAAATAATAATTCAGTGGAACAAGTGAACCGCTGAAGAAATAATAGTGAAACTTGATCTGTGATGTAGAAGATTCTTTTAAGAAATTCTCCCAAAATAAAGAACCTAAAGACAAAAATAGTAGTACTCGAGAAAGAAATGACAGAAGTCATGGGAGATGGAGCCAAGAAAATCAATATCAGTATGAAAAGATGTTCAGAAGAAAAGAGTGGAGGGTGAGAGAAAACTAATAATCAAAAACCTAATAGATGAAAAGTTTCCACATTGGAGAAAGACCTAATCCTTCACATTGAAATTATTTGCCAAGTATCAGAGGGAGTAGGGAAATGATCCATAGTTTAAAATGTGTGAAACCCTAAGAATTAAAGAACATATATTGTTTGATTTCCAGATAATTTAATTTTCATTTAAAAAAAATTCAGCTGGGTGCAGTGGCTCACACCTGTAATCCCAGTAGCTGTGCAGGCTGAGGCAGGGGGATTATAAATTCAAAGACAGCCGCAGCAATTTAACAAGGCTCTAAGCAATTTAGCAAGATCCTGTCTCCAAATAAAATATAAAAAAAGGGATGGGGATGTGGCTCAGT